GTGTGTGAGAGAGAGGTGTGTATAATATACGAAATAATATAGCTTTTCTGAAATCTCTATCAACTGTACCCTTTTAATTATCCTATATGGAAAGCTATTTGGAAGTAATAGTGTTTTTTATCTTATTAATGCGAATAGGATTTTTTTTTTTTTTTTTGATTTGCAACTGGCTTTTGTTCCGTCGGGTTTTTTTTCAGCATGTTTATTTATCTTGAGACGATTTCTGGTCTTTTATTTTGAAATGAAATTCGTTTAACTTCCTGTTATTCTTGGGCGGAATCGACGCAGCTTTCTCACAGCAGAAATTAGTTAATGTGATCCTATATGTGTGTGTGCTTGTGTGTGTCAGAACGGTACTCGGTGATGCGCACGGGCCACACGAGGCAAATTGCTGGCTCACGTGATGATGTAACAAAGGAAATCTTTAGGTTTGCCAGCTGGCTTCCAATAAATCAAAAGACTTAAGTATATTATATGTTATATAATATAATTTTATTACATCTCACACACACACACAAACATATAGATAGATAGATAGATAGATAGATAGATAGATAGATAGATAGATAGATAGATAGATTTGTTTTTTGTATGATTTTGTAGACTTTCAAATACAGAAAACAATCCAGTAAGAATACAGATAAAGTCATCTATATAATTCCGACAAGAGCCATTCTGCATAACATTACTGTTATTTACATTAAGTATATTTTTATGACAAGCACAGTCTGTACAGTAACATAAGTTCAGAACTGCACGTTTTACTTGAGCAGAGGGTGTGGGTCCTGTGGGTTCCCTACTTGTATTTGGATAGCCTCTGTGGCAACCCGTTAAAAAACATCCTGGTAACAGCCCTGATCTATTCTTAGAAGACACATAGATTATTGTACAAACAGTCACATTTCAACCCATGAGTTCCATATAAACTGTAATGTTTCCACAGGGATGAAAAGACGCATAAAAAAACAGAGAAGAGTAAAAGTGACCTTAGCCTTTAGCAGAGTAATACAATAACTTCCTTCCAACTTAGCCCCTCCCCCCTTCCCCCCCCACACACACACAATAGAGCACTGCTATTGTGGCAATGATAGATGACAGCACAGATAGGATCGGATGGAAAGTAACTTACTACAGTTACTATGGTAATTTACTTTTTCTTCTTCTTCTTCTTCTTTTTTTGCAGTATGCTACTTTCTGCTTTTTATCTATTTTGGATGCAAACATTGTACTTTGTACTCCATACTGTTAATATTGAAATATGAGTTTCTTATGATTTTGCTGATAGGCTACTTTCACTGCTCCATATATTTGCTTTGACAGATTTTTACCCCAAATACCTTTCCTGACCCACCCCCCTAAATCAAGCGGCCCAGCAATGTGTGTGTCATAAATTGCAGGTAAAGGGAATCAAATGCAGACTTACAGACAGGGAGATGTAAGGAAAACTTTTATTTAGACCATTTTCTGAATCAAGAATCCATGAAAAATAGAAGCAAACTGAATCCATGATCCTGATAAGGATAAGCAGAAGAGGGTTGATGGATGAATGGATGGATGTTTATAAGCAGGCAGATAACACATGAGCACAGCATCAGTAAAGAAAGGCAATCAAACAACAACTACGATAAAGACTGGACTTTTATACACACGAGGGTAATCAAGGAACTGCGCACAGAAGGATAAAAAAAGACCCAGGTGTAGATAATAATGACAGACAGGAGAAAATCAAGTTAAACACAAAACACCAGAGACATGTGATCACCAAAGCAAAGCGGAAAATAAATAATAGCTGAAACAGTGAAACCAGAACTATCATGACAGAGGGAAACTCTGAGTGGACTCACAGACTTTAATTCCAAACAGTAGAACAATAAGACAACCAGGACTGAGACACAAGACCTAAACTCAAGTACCACATTCCACAGAACTAACTAGAACTCAAATATTACATCATAATGAGTGTGGAAGTTTTTTCTTTACATGTTTTAAATATAATTTAATTATATAACATGTGTGCTGTTAGGATAATTAAGTAGGATTAGAAGGTTTACTTGAATAAATGTTGCTTTTTAAATATATTTCCCACTTTACACAACAGTTATCCAGCACCAAGTAATCTATGTATAAATGTGTGTGCAGCACTTCTTTACATCTAATAAATTGGTGACAGGATGCAGAGAAACACACGAGGCCGAGTGTGTTTAGATTTATGATAAACGCTGTGGTTTCCTGTGCGCCTTGTTCCCGGTCCCACCTGTGCCACCCCATTTTAAAAATTCCTGGAAACGCCCCTGCGGCGAGCAGAAAAACCGCATGTACGTGATGCAGCAGTAGCACGTGCCATCCGTGTGTGTGTATGTTTGTGTGTACGTGTAAATGGAGCCATAATCCTTTCTCCCGCGCGCTTGGAAAAGCTTCTTCTCTGGCAGATTAATGGCGCACGGCGCACGCTTCAACCATCTGTTCCACGAATGGCATCCCACCAGCACGAGCGCTTCTCCTCCTGTCTTTTACAGGACTCCTTTGTGCTTCGATGAGGCAGATCTACCGTAAACACAACACCAAACTTCCCATTACACATTTCAAAACAAAACCCTTAATTAACGCAATCTACGTAGAGAGCGGGTTTTCGCTAGTGAGACATTCATCTGGTTTTCCTGGAGGTTGGTTGCAGTCGGGTTTTACAGATTTCTCCTTAAAATGAGGCAACTCTACGTTTCGACGATCATTGCTGAATGAAACAATATTTGATTCCTAAATATAAACGTGTTAAACTGCGCATATTTTACAAACTTTCGGTTCAATATCGGTTTGATCAGAAATACCCTGATTAAAAGGTTTTAACTGTCGTGTTACATATTTCCAGCTTTTCCGGGAGCACACAGAAGGTTTTGTTTTCGCTTGTGCATATCAAACGTCATCTAAACAACTGTGTAAACACAGGTTATACTTGCAATTTGTGCAGACATGATTGCACAACAGAGTTTTAGGTTACTCACATATGCATCACATGAACTTTTCCGGAAGTCATGCACTTCCCATTTTAAGATAGCTATACTTTGTCAACAGTCTCGGTGTTTTTATTAACTCTGTTAATCTCCGTTGAGAAATGTTAGATTCTTTCATCCTTCAAATAGTTTCCATGTTTAGTCAGGCCAAATCAAGGCAAACATGTCACCGTGCCTTACAGCTTTTTATTTATTCATTCTAAGAATGAATACATTACTTATTTATATTTGCTCATGGAAAAACTTTATTGCATTTTCTTTTTATGAGTATGATCAGTTCAACGAGAGACAATAAATGTTGAGCAAAGAGTTTGGTTTGGTGAGGCACTGCTCGTTACTAAAGCTGAGCGATAGCTTAAACACGCGCGCGCGCGCAATATGCAGGTAAAGATTTGGCATCGATCATATCAAAGTAAAAATTGACTTTATTCAATTTAAAAGCAATTTTCTAAACATAACGGAAGCTCTTTTGTTTTTAGCTGCTATCTGAGTAAAAAAGTGATTGCTAACGTTTCTTTGTTATGCGTAATATCTTTGCTGGTAAATAGGCTGTAGTGGGCAGGATGTGCGAGAGAAAGGGTTACATAGAAAATTAAAGAAATGACCAGTATAGCATGCATTATTGTTCCCACTCTGTGTCCTGTTACAATCAATCCAGTTTCTTTGATCACATGTAAAATATCTTTATATAACTGCTTTGTTATATTTGTGGCAATTTCTGCTGCCCTCTTGAAAAGATATCCTCTTGGAAAAGACATTTTAATGTTTGTGAGACGTTTTACTCCAATAAATAAAAGACATACAAGTGACTTTGTCAAAAACCGATTGCATCTTCTACCTTGTGACATGGTGGCTTGATATAATTAATGAAGGACATGTCTGAGATGTGTTTGAAACACTGAAGGCCAACAAACCATTTACAACACTTTAAATACGATCGATCACTTTTTGCATCCACGGATCCACGGACATGTTTTTGTGGCTGACATGCGTAAATACCAGTTAATACAACCGTGGGACATGTTTCGTGGGATCTGGGGGAGGACAAATGATAAAAAAAGAAAAAAAAGTGGGACGCACAGTCACCCTATTATTCATCTTGTTATTGGAGTAAGTCCCCAAAATATCATCAAAGAGTCAGAACTCGGGAACAAGGT